ATTATTATTGCATGCAATTAACGTTTTGAATGCAACTCGGAATTTTCTCTGGGTGCAGATCTACCTTTAGCCAGCAGAGTGTGCTTTTAGCATTGGACAAAGGGCAGCGCAGATTATAAGATTTTCAGAGGCTTGGATGCTTAGGGCTTGCGGATTTTTAAAGTGTTTCAAAAGCTAGTAAAGTTTATGTGACTTGAAGGGACGGCAGGGAAAAGAAATTATGTACACCACAGGCAAGGAAGCCTCTCTCACCCTCCCTTCGACGAGCTTTGAAATGGGAAAAGGACAGACAAAAAGAAGTACCGGTACTTATCCACACATCACAAAACTCATTCATTCAGTTAACTGAATTGCCACAAGATGACCAGTAGCTCAGACAGCTGTAAAAAGGAATAGGTGCATTTTGAAGGCATGTTATGTTGATCAGTAGCCAGTAGCCGTGATGGCTTAAACCAAGCATGTCCAAAGCCCGTTTCGGGGGACCTAATCCGGCCCGCCGGTCGATTTAATACCATGGCAATATATCTCCTGGGATAAAATCCTAAAAGAAGCTCAACAACTTTGGGGTAATTTTTTTTTAAAAAGCATGTTCACTTCATCAAATCTGGCCCTCTTTTAAAAAAGTTTGGACACCCATGGTTAATTGGAGTTGCAGTACACCTCTGAATACAGTGATACCTCGGGTTAAGTACTTAATTCGTTCCGGAGGTCCGTACTTAACCTGAAACTGTTCTTAACCTGAAGCGCCACTTTAGCTAATGGGGCCTCCTGCTGCTGCTGCGCCACCAGAGCACTATTTCTGTTCTCATCCTGAAGCAAAGTTCTTAACCTGAAGCACTATTTCTGGGTTAGCAGAATCTGTAACCTGAAGCGCGTGTAACCTGAAGCATATGTAACCCGAGGTACCACTGTACTAGAGGTGTTGGATTCATAGAATTTTAGGGTTGGAAGGGAGCCCAAGGATCCTGTAGTCCAATACAGGAATATGTAGCTGTCCCATACAGGGATCGAACCTGCAACCTTGGCATTATCCACACTAGGCGCTAACCAACTGAGCTATCCAAACGGCCTCAGCCCAGTATACCTGAAGGAGCATCTCCATCCCCATCGTTCTGCCTGGACACTGAGGTCCAGCGCTGAGGGCCTTCTGGTGGTTCCCTCACTGCAAGAAGCCAAGTTACAGGGAACCAGGCAGAGGGCCTTCTCGGTAGTGGCGCCTGCCCTGTGGAACGCCCTCCCACCAGATGTCAAAGAGAACAACAACTGCCAGACTTTTAGAAGACATCTGAAGGCAGCCCTGTTCATTAACATGTGTGACATTTTAATGTATTTTTAATCTTTGTTGGAAGCCGCCCAGAGTGGCGGAAACCCAGCCAGATGGGCAGGGTACAAATAATAAAATAACATAATAATAATAAATAATAATAATAATAATAATAATAATAATAATAATAATAATAATAATATTAATAATATCCAATGCTTAAAGGCTTCCAGGGGTAACTGATTGGCATGTGGCCCCCAGAGGGTTGGGTTAGGGTGAATGCAACCCTCAAGCAAAAAACACACAAAAAACCAGACTCCCTGCCATAGATAATTCTGGGAAGTGGCTGTTTTTGAAGGTCTCCTGTAGCTTCTCAATGGGAAGACTAATACTGTGGTCTGTCACTAGGTGTCACTGTTTGCAGTTTGTCTCCTATTGAAAGAACAAAGGTCTAAGCCAGGCATGTCCAAAGTCTGTTCCGGGGGCTTGATCCAGCCCGTGTGGCAGTTTATTTCCTGGGAGAAAATCCTAAAAAAACCTCAACAGCTTCAATCCTAAAAGCTCAACAACTTTGGTCGGCCCCCACAGCCCTTCACTTCATCAAATCTGGCCCTCTTTGAAAAACGTTTAGACACCAGTGGGACTCTAAGCATAAAGCTGTCCATTCCTCACGTACATGATTTGAGCACTGTCATGGCAGTGGATAAAACCCATGAATCATTACATGCAGAAAAATAAATGAGTGGTGTACGTTCAATCTACAAAGAAAACTATGCAAATTAAACAGAATATTCAATTTGTTTATTAACAATAAGTAATACCAGCAATGAACCATCATCTTCCCTTTTTATGTTTTACTAGAATCTGCTTAGTGGGTACCTGGAACTCCCACGTGACAATACCATTTACAGTGGCTACCCTCAGGTTAGTTACTTAATTCGTTTCCAGAGGTCCATACTTAACCTGAAACTGTTCTTAACCTTTAGCTAATAGGGCTTCCTGCTGCCTGCCTTCTGCGCTGCCGGAGCATGATTTCCTGTTCTCATCCTGAAGCAAAGTTCTTAACCTGAAGCGTATGTAACCTGAGGTACCACTGTAATGCATTTGGACATTTCGGTTACCAAAAACTGAATAATATTAAGTGAAGTGGAGCTTTTCCCACGGGGACCAGAGTACAGGAATTAGCCATGTGGAGCAGCAGTAGAAAACAGAAATGTGTGTTCGTATGTGAAATCCCTCTGTGCATTGCAGAAATGTCATTATTTTGGCAGCAGCAACCCACTTACTCTTCCCTTTAGTGAGCCCTTTCTTAAGTAAACATGTTGCAGACTGCATTCCTTTGGTGTGTGTGTGTGTGTTTGATATTTCCTGCAACTTGCAAATACAGCTCAAAAACCAAACACTGCTCAAGTAGGCTGTGGACTCAGCAGAAAGAGAAGGTTTATATCTCCACTCATTCTACAATGCTGGGTATTTCCTGTCCTTCCCTCGATCTCCCCCACTCCATCACAACTGTCTAGACGCATCTCCAAACTACCATTAACCCTGAGTCCCGTTGTCGTGTTAAAAATAGCGGATGTATAAGCATGAAGCTTGCGGTGACGGGAAAATGGTAGGTTGCGCTTCACTACCCCACAAGCCAGCTATTTTGAGGAAAGAAACATTTAATTTGCAAAAAAAAAGGGGGGGACTTGAGGAAATTCTGAAATGAGTGCAGCAAAGCGTGCCTCGTTGACACTGAGGTTGCAAAATGAGATATTTCAGCAGGAGAGCGATTAGAATTGTGGAATAAAGTTGTTGTTTAGTCGTGTGCGACTCTCGTGACCCCATGGACCCGAGCACGCCAGGCACTCCTGTCTTCCACTGCCTCTCGCAGCTTGGTCAAACCTCATGTTAGTAGCCTCGAGAACACTGTCCAACCATCTCGTACTCTGTCATCCCCTTCTCCTTGTGCCCTCCATCTTTCCCAACATCAGGGTCTTTTCCAGGGAGTCCTCTCTTCTCATGAGGTAGCCAAAGTATTGGAGCCTCAGCTTCACGATCTGTCGTTCCAGTGAGCACTCAGGGCTGATTTCCTTCAGAATGGATAGGTTTGATCTTCTTGCAGTCCATGGGACTCTCAAGAATCTCCTCCAGCACCATAATTCAAAAGCATCAATTCTTTGGCTATCAGCCTTCTTTATGGTCCAATATAGTTACTCTGGATTAAATCACATCTGCACCAAAAGTCTTGATTCAGTTGACACTTTTCAGGGTGGGGCAATGCATCTTAGGCATTGGTTTGGACAACGATTAAAAACACACACACTCCCAAGAGTGCACTTCACATCTGACACAATGCATATGCGTTTTGTACAAGTGCAGAAATATCGCATATAACACAGCCCCAACTCTGACTTAAGGGTTGCAGAATGTGAAATGCAGTTGGCAAATGCCGATAGGTTACCTTTGAAGCTACAGAGCTTCTATCCTAATTTCTCTTCTGTGAACAGGACAGGAATTAGGGCTTCCAATCTCTGCTTTTCACTCTGTAGCCCCCACAAATTCATAGGAGTTGTTGGATGAAGGATGGGGAAATTGACAGAAATCCCTCCCCTCTTGCATGAATAAAAGAGCCGGTAAAACTTGTATTTAAAACAAGTTATTTTAGGCGGGAAATCCCAGAGAGAATTGTTAGATGTTTAAAAATACAGTGGTACCTCGGGTTAAGAACTTAATTCGTTCTGGAGGTCCGTTCTTAACCTGAAACTGTTCTTAACCTGAGGTACCACTTTAGCTAATGGGGCCTCCTGCTGCCGCAGCGCGATTTCTGTTCTCATCTTGAAGCAAAGTTCTTAACCTGAGGTACTATTTCTGGGTTAGCAGAATCTGTAACCTGAAGCGTCTGTAGCCCGAGGTACCACTGTAACCAATTAAATAAATAATAATAATAATGCATGTTTTTAGTGTTTCACACATTTGGGGACAGATCTAGCTCTTCAAACATTTCTTTATAAGCATGAAAGCAAGCAGCTTAACAGCAAAAAGGGTTTTGTTTTTTTTTTAAAAATGCAGAAGAGCAACATTAAGAGATTTTCTTCTTATCTAAAACTGTAAAATGTTTGGACTGTTATGTAAGAACATGAGAAGACCCTTGGCGGGTCATGTCAAAGGCCCATTTAGTCCAGCATCCTGTTCTCAAAATGGCCAACCAGATTCCTATGGATATTGTGATTGGGGAGGAATGACTTAAATAAAATTCGGAAGAATGGAGAGACACAATACATTTAAGTTGTCCCCATAGCTGGGTGAGCATGGCAGGGGGGAGAACAGAGAGAGATAAAAGGGACTGAAGCAAAAGGGCAAGTTTGAGTCAAACAAAGACAGGGGGAAAATACAACATTCATAATTTCTGAACATTTTATTTATAATTCAGTGTCAAAAAAGTTTACAAAAAAATCTTTTTACATCGCTGCTTGTTCCAAACAGTTGTAAAAATCAAAAACGGCTGAACATGCAAGAAAAGAATGTGCGACATTTATATGAAAAGATTTTCAAGCACCCCATTATACACAAGAAGGGTTTCAATTACACAACAAGGTATGCTTTTCAACCTCTGAACCACCCTATTGAGCTACATCAAAGTAAACCTCCTTTAAACAAGTAAAGTTTCCACTTTTAGACAAATATAGGCAGCTATATATTATTAATGGCAATGGAGTTCTTAAAAAAAACTTGATTTTCTTTTTTTTTAAAAAAAGAAAATAATTCATTCTTGAGCTGGCCTATTGGCATGATGTAGAGTGAAATATAACTTTTTTCTGTCAAGACAGTACGTGAGAGGGAAAAGGGCAGAAGGAGCCGGAGGGCCAAACGGATGCCTCTCCCTTTTCCCCAGTTTCCAAACAATGAACGATTCTGAATGAATGGAACGATTCTCATTTCTATAAGGCAATGACAGAGAGCTTTTACCAGACCTGCTTTACAGAGGCTGCAGCTGAACTCCGCTGATGCCAACATGCTTTGTCGTGGCATCTTTGGTGCAGCGCAAGCATGGGCAACCTGTCGTCCTTCAGGAGATTTTGGATCATCCTTGACATGCTGAAAGACAACAGGTTCCTCATCTCTGGTGTACGGCCACAAGTCCCAGCCAAAGTACTCTGGAGAAGATCTGATGGTAACCAACAGGGTCATTCTGGAGTAAAGGGTTCTGAGGGCTTTCTTCAAACTGGTACATGCTACTAATCCCAAATACCCAAAAGCAGAGATCCATTGAACATGAGGATGGAGGCCCCTGGATGTAGGAATGCTACAAGGGTCTTATGGCTGTATCTTCAGGTTGCTGTCCTCCATCCATTCAGGGATGGAGAAATCTATCCATTTTGGTTCTCCCAAGTTTTCTTTCTTTTCTAAAAAAACCTCAAATTCAGTTCTCCACTCTTCCACAACATTTTGCAATTCTTTTTTTTATAAAAAAAACCTCATGAAAACTCACCATCATTTCCATGCTAATTTCTCCTAATAGATGCATACACCCCCCCCCAAAAAAATTCAATTTCCTCTTACAGAATGTATTTTCGCACACATCACTTGGCCGGAGAATCTCACTGCAAAATTTCGGAAAGGTGCAAATTTCAAAAGATGGCTTTGTTCCGGTTCACGTATTGCTTCAAGATATGGGGCAAATTTGCCTTTAAATGCTAACTGGATCGAATTGCTCCCCAATTCCTGGCTGCGGTTAAAGGGGGGGGGGAGAGAAATGCCTGGAAAATATGTCTGGAACAGGGAGATAATTCTTTTGGGAGAGATTTGTGGAAGTGTACTGAGATTGTCATTCTATTTGCTGGATGTTCTACAGAAGGGAAACCTATGGTTTTATCCTCTCAAAGAGAACAAACCCTATCCATTGATCCCAATAAGAAGAAAAGCCAGTTAAGGGCCAGTGAAAACTCCTCACTGTCCCAAGGTCATGTCAGGAAAATGACCCATGGCACCCCTCCTCTAATTCGCCTCTGCCTTTTCGTCCTCTTCACCATCAGAGCTCCAATTTGGGGGGAGGGGAAGCAATAGCACAGGCATAGGCAAACTCGGCCCTCCAGATGTTCTGAGACTACAACTCCCATCATCCCTGACCACTGGTCCTGTTAGCTAGGAATGATGGGAGTTGTAGTCCTAAAACATCTGGAGGACCGAGTTTGCCTATGCCTGCAATAGCACCAGTTCTTTCCAAGGCGGCTGAGAGGAACCCCCTCTATTGAGAGATGATTTCCCTCTCTGCCCATAGAATACGTGATCCGCCATATTGTATGGCCCTTGGGACACACTGAGGAACCATAGGATTGTGCACCCAAGTTCGTTAACCCTGAAATCAACGGGCCTTAAGTTCATCAGGATCAAGCCCATTGCCTTCACATTACATTTTGCAGCAGTACTCCTCCAAGTGCACATTCCCAGAGTTAAGACGTTACAGATAGAGATTGTTCAATGGGTGAAAATCCAGCAATTGTATGTTCGTTGGACATAAAACCTGTACGAAAGACATAAGACTCGGTTCTGACGATGGAATGAGAAGGGTGCATTTTCCAGACACATCAGCATCTGAAAGCTAAAGGAGCTCTTTGTCACTTCCAGTTGGAAAACGTCTTTATGACCGCAGTTACGTTAAAAAAAAGGGTTCAAAAAACAACCTGGTCAGTATTTTGCCTCACGTATGTCATAGGCAGAACTCCAGAATGCTTAACAATTTTTCTAAAATAGGGGTGGAGGGGGAAAGAGCTAATCTCATCTGCAAAAAATAAAAGGGAGCGTGACTTTAAGTCATAAAGGCATCACATTGACAGCAACTCATTGTTTTCGCCAGCGAGTCAGCTAGCGAGAAGAGTGGTTTCAATTAAATAGATGGGTTTATGGCAAGATGCAAGAAGGGTCATTAAAATGAGCCTTGCGACAGGTTGCACGGAAATCTGTGCCAACATCTCCCCCTCCCCCCGCCTGTACAACAAGTGGATGGTTTCAAGCCCAGGAACATCTCGTCAGTTTTACGAGAGACTTAACTGCACTTGGAAGGATGCTGGTTTGTTTCAGCTTAAGCCATCCAGGGTCAGATAAATCCGGAGGCAAAGTTAGTTAACTGTTGGGATGTACTCAAGGAGGAGTTTGGTGTCTGAAGTTGTACAGTACTACATATCCACAGGTATCCATCCTACAGGTGCCCCAGCATCTGATTTTATGTTACACAAAGAGTCCATACTTGCCAACCAAACTGCTCCCAAAATGACCTGAGGTGCCATTGAGGGTTTTTGGTCACCTGCATGCATGTTTTTCGACACATGAAAAGAGATTCTGATTCATCCAATAGCTAAACAATAATATATACAAGGTGCGTACAAAACTCCCCCAAACAACAGGTGGAATAAGTGCTCTAGTAAAAATAAAACATTTCGTAAAAATAAAAAAAAGTCCTATCCTAATATAAACCAGGGGAATTTGTTTGCCAGAGGCTAGTTTGGATGTAGGAAATGCTCGATAGGTCCAGAAATGTTACCCTACCATTTTTATTTGAATGGGCTTCATAATAAAAACAGATCGGCACACACATGTAAGCAATCCCTTTAGTGGTCGCTGGCGCCCATTGGTACTGGTAAGGCAGAAGATAGGGAGGCTAACAGTAGGTGGCGCCAGAGCCCAAGACAGGCACAGCCAACTCATTCTAGGTTTGCCCCCATCCTTCCCAATAGAAGGTTCTATCATGCCAATGCTGAGACCATGGAGGAGGAAGCCAATAGCCAGTGGATGCAAGTAAGAAAGGAGTTGGCATTGGCTGAGGGAAGACAGGATGTTGGTGGGACAACATCCCATTCAATCTAAGGGACCACTGAATCTTCTCCCTCTTTCATTCACGCATCGTCTAAATACCAAAAGCCACTTTCTGCTTACACTCAGACCCATCATCTACTCTCCTAAACTATATAGGCTGCTAAATTCATTTCCTGAAAGACCCAACCACATGGCAAATGTATCAGTTCCATAACAACTTATACCAACTCCTCGCGTCAACCACCACCAACGCCTCTGCTCTCAGTTCCCTATTCCAACCTCACTTCATTTCCGCAACTTCCTGGCTCCAGCAATGCCCCTAAACAACCCTTAGCGTTGTTAAAAACCTGTTCTTCTATTTTAAATCTTAGCAAAAAGAAAGAAAGGGTATTTTATGCACGTACCCTGCTGTCAGACTGTACCTTTGTTTTGGTTTACTGCTTTGAATAATACCAATAAAATGATTGTGATTATTTGAAATCTTTTACATCCCTGTGCGAGGAATTTATCCTGTATTTCAGCGCCAAACCTGATACAGTATATAGGAGCAGCAGCTCCAAAGAGAAACGTTTTCACAGGACACGGGGCAACTTTTGTCATGTTGGTTCTTTGGATAATGTAGCTCGTTTGAGCGCAGCTGTACCCTTTAGACCATGTGTGGTACCAACATAGGCTAAGCACAGATACATGTGCCTCATGGGGGTTTAGACATTCTTAATGCACACACCTGCCTGTGGTCTTATTCAAGCAAAAGGTAATAGCTCATCTACAGTTCTCTAGGCCACACACTTCTCAGAATCCAACATCAACACTTATTAGGGGGACAGAGGCGAGTCCTCCACCTTTGGTGGAGTTTTAGTGTTTCCTCTGCAATTAATTTAATACTGGGCTGGTTCTGCAAGGAAGGAGAAGGGCAGTGATAGGGGCATCCACTTTGCAAACAGAAAGCCTCAGGTTTAATCCCATCCCAGCGGGTTCTACAGTTTGAGAGCAGGTGATGTGGAAGTTGCAAAATTATTCTGGGGGTGTGTGGGAAGGAGGAGGTGGGTTCATGTCACAGGCACCAGCCAAAGAGTGGATCTTCCACATTCAAGCTCCACAGAGCTTAAAGCCTACATAGCAGAATGTATTGCACATTAGAGCTTTCCCAAGAACAGACAAGCCACATCTCTTTGCAAAAAGCAATGCTGGCTACACCACTTTCACAGCACAATGTATTTGTACGTACGCAAAGTCAACCAGTGCTGAAGGCGACATTGCTGCTCCTTCGCTCCTCCCTGGTCATTCTGCTGCTCCATCATGCTGAGAGCTAAGCCATGGCTTGCTTGCGCATGTTGCTTGAACCCGGGCTTGTGGTATAGCTCTTCCACACAACCCGTAAGCTGTAAACCACAGGGCAGACCTTAGGGTACAGCTTGTGGTTAGTCTGGACCATCCATAGGCAAACTCAGTGCTCCAGATGTTTTGGGACTACAACTCCCATCATCCCTGACCACTGGTCCTGTTAGCTAGGGATGACGGGAATTGTAGTCCCAAAACATCTGGAGGGTCGAGTTTGCCTATGCCTGGTCTGGACAGAGCTTAGCCATAAGACTAGGTTTGGAAGACATGATGATCCAATCTATGGTTTAGTTCAGCACAGCAGCTGAACGACTCCGGAGGAGCAATGCCGCTGCGATCTCCGCTCCCACACCCAAGCATTCATGCTAAGCCAGTTTGGGCCCAGTGTGACATCTGAACTTGGGCAATGTATTGGAGAGAGATTGAGAGCAACAGCAGGCCTCCAGAAAATACACAGAGCTGATGTAATGTGGCACACCAACCAGAATATCCATCATTAGCTCTTCTTCGTGTTTGTTGTTTTACCAGCAATCACAACAGGCCCACTGTTCTGCTGGAGCCTTTCCAAATTTCTGAGAACCAGGCTTTTCGAACAAAAGAGCAAGCAGACTCTTAAGTAGTAACAAAAAAAGGGGTTAAGTCTACCTTTGCCATCAACTTCCCCCCTTTAAATCTCTACAAAGTACAAACACTTCACATTGCATATCGGGTTGGCTGCAAAGCTTTTCAGAGGTAGAAAATGGTGTGGTGTGTACATTTTACATTGATTTTCTTTTCATCTTAAAGGATAAAGGACCATGCCCTTGTAAGCTACCGATTCTAAAAATGTCTTCGGTATAAATATCTATTGTAAACAAAACCCAGAGTGGGAAGTAGTTGAACAGCGTTAGCCTAATCATGGTGTTTTAATTTCTCTAGGCTTTGAAACCAAGAGACATTTCAAACGGATGCAAAAAACAAACAAACAAAACAAATTTGAATTTCCTAAGCAGAATAAGGATCCTCCCCAATTGCTTGCACTCAGATTCTTACAAAGCATCACATATTTACAGTGTTTACACATTTATCAGTTCAGTTGGAAGGCCATATTCTCAAAAAGAGTTCAATGCCACTGAATAATGACTCCCTTCGCCTCCTAAAATCCTCTTGTCCTCTTGACTCAGGAACTCCAAAGCTGTAATATTTACACACATTATACAGGTTGAGCGGGCCTGTTCGGCAGTATAAAGTGTCCCATCAGAATAGCAAAATATTTACACAGTGAAAATTACTTGGGGATTCAAAATCTGAACAAGTTGATGAAGTCCTGGGGTGAAAGAGAAGTCAAGCAGCCCTCGGGGTTGTTAGCTGTGCATGGATGATCGGTGCCCTGAAAAGGAAGAAAATCTGGATGTATAGAGATAGTAGCAAAGTAGATGGCATATCTGTAGGTACCGTATTTTTCGCACCATAGGACGCACTTTTTCCCTCCTAAAAAGCAAGGGAAAATGTGTGTGCGTCCTATGGAGCGAATGCAGGGGGGAGGCAGGCGGGAAAAGCCCCCAAGAGCCGCACACAAGCTCCGCGCGGCTCTTGCGGGCTTTTCCCCAGGAGGGAGAAGTGACTGACTGGACGCATCAGTCCCTTCCCCCACCTCCCAAAAAAGCCAGGAGAAGCCGTGATCTCTTTAAAGGGGTTGCACGGCTTCTGCGGGCTTTTGGGAGAGGTGAGGGAACCCCACCTCCCAGGAATGCCAGGAAAGCCCTGCGCAGTGTCTCCCGGCAAGGATCCATCCTGCTCTCTGCCTTGGCTTGTGCCATAGCCGCGCACAACCCCTCCGGCAGGGAGAGGTTGTGCGCAGCCTGTACGCTGCTCTTTGGGGCTGGGGGGGGGAAAGATTTTTTTCCTTGATTTCCCCCCCTAAAAATTGGGTGCGCCCTATGGTCCGGTGCGCCCTATGGTGCGAAAAATACGGTAGCTTAGTGACAATGAAACAGCTTACTTGCAGCAAGGGGAGTTTTGCTGCTGCTGCTGCTGGAGGCACAAGCTGCAAGCTCAGCGAAGTCACTCATGCCGCCAATGTAGTACAAGTGGCTGTTGGTCCACATGCATCAGATATGGGGAACTTGGAACCTCAGGGCTACAATTAGGACCCTCGTACCTATGGGACCACCTCTCCTGGTATGCCCTGTGGAGGACCTTAAGGTCCATAAACAACACCACTTTGGAGGTCCCGAGCCTCAAGGAGGTTAGATTGGTTTCAACTAGGGCCAGGGCCTTTTCAGCCCTGGCCCCAACTTGATGGAACGCTTTGTCACAAGAGACTAGGGCCCTGTAGGATTTGACATCTTTCTGCAGGGCCTGCAAGGTGGAGCTGTTCCGCCTGGCCTTCGGCTTAGACTCAGTCTGACCCCTTATATGGGATTTGGTATATAAATTTTCCCTTGGCTTTTTTGCTGGCCCATGTAGGACCAGCATGGATAGCTGGCTCGGGGGAATATCTGATGTTTCCTCCCTTTATGGTCTTGATTTATGGGCTACTACTAAAATGAGACTGCATTTTAAGATGTATTTTAAGCCGTATTTTAATTAACTGATTGTTGTTTTTCTATTACGTTTTATTATAATTTATATTTGGTGTTAGCCGTCCTGAGCTCAGCCCTGGCCAGGGAGGGCGGGGTATAAATAAAAATCAATCAATCAATCAATCAATCAATCAATTATTATCATCATCATCCCAGGCCATTGGCCATGTTGGCCGGGGCTGATGGGACTTGGAGTCCAACAACAGCTGCATGCCCACAGCTTCCCTTTTCCCCACCATGGTCTTTAAGTTTTAGGAAGTGCACCAAAACTTGTCATTGTGGGCTATTCCGCCCACATCACAGCAACAAACGTGGGTTTAAGGATGCTGAGAGGAGTCAGGAAACCCCTCGCAGAGCTACAATTCCCAGCACCCCTAATAAACTACAGTTCTCAAGATTCTTTGGAGGATGCCATGACTGTTAAAGTGGTATAAGACTGCTTAAATATATGGTGGGGGACTGTCAGTTTGCATTTCTTAGTGCAGAAAGTATTGATTTGATGTGTAGTGATCTTTCCTATTCTACTTCACTCAAGAGGGTTCTGGAAGCTTCTCTGTGAGAGAGAAACCAGCAGAAGGTTCATGATGCTTGGATTATTCCTTCAGAGAAGCTCAGCACAGCTGCCTTAAACTACAGTCATACCTCATGTTACGTCCGTTTCAGGTTGCGTGTTTTTGTCCTGCATCCTGCGGCAACCCGGAAGTACCGAAACAGGTTACTTCTGGGTTTGCTGCTAGCGCATGCGCAGAAGCGCTAAATCGCGCTTTGCTCCTGTGCAGAAGCAGCACTTCGAGTTGCAGGCTTTTCACGTTACAGGCGGGCCTTTGGAACGGATCCTGTCCGTAACATGAGGTACCACTGTAGTTCTCTTATCTCTTTCTGTCAAGGTCATGCTGACTATCAAAGTAAGTCCAGAAGGGCCTGGGTTTCACTTTCTATCTCTTTTCCTTCTGGTGTGGTGTTCTGTACATAGTATGCTTAGTGTTAAGGTATAGACAAGATGAAAGTTTAACTTAATTCTGCTTCAAGTGGATTTCTTATGGGCAGTGGCAATCCTGAATGTATTGGATTTGTGCTGCTCATTTGCCTCTTCAGTAGCAATAAAGCTCTGCTGGATGAAATATTAATTGTCTATTTTTTGGGAATCCTGCAACGTGTTTAAGTTTTTACTCTGCTAACTATACATTGGAATCTACTCTGGATCAATATGGAGTAGAATTTCACAGCAGGGTTTGCCAGCTCACACTGATCTGTCTAGCTTTCAGTTTATCCCATGGCTGAGATCTCCACCCAACAGAAACGCTTCCACCATTGTAACACCGTGAAAGTGATCGACATCTTGCGGACTAGGCAAAGAAACCAGAGGACAGGAGTCACCTAACCAGCCCCTGTGCAAGGATTTATGCTCAGGCAATGGGCTCTTGCACCTCCAAGAAACTGGCTCTGGTGGAAGTCATGAGAACCTTCAGAACAATGCATGGAGGAAGAGGGGAGATTGTGTCATCTAGCAAGCAGAACAGCTGGGAGAGTGCAGCACTGAATTCCACCCAGAGTCCAAGAGCTCAAGCTTTAAGACCCTTCAAGTGGGATGCTGCAATTGCAGTCCATGCAACATATCCTCTGCCCCAAGCTTAAATCTCCAGCCATCAAGAGGATTTGGGACTGGCCACCTACCTTCCAAGACAAGATATGGCAGTGTCTACAGAGCTGCAAAGAATCGCCGTACTGCTCCTTCCTTGGGTAGCACCTCACAAGCTTGAAATACATCTTCTTCCAATCCAAATGCCCCTTCTCCGACATGATTAGCCGTTTACGAATCTGAAATGTAAGAGAGTCCCACAATGGAATCACAGGCCTGGGAAATTTGTCCAAGGACTGGCTAGTTTAAGGCAGCTGCCACAGCTCAGTGAGAGAGCCTCTGTTCTGCATGCGGAAAGTCCTAGGTTCAAATCCTTGGCATCTCCAGATTTGGCTAGGGGGAGACCCTGAATGAAGCCCCACGAAGAGCTGTTGGCAATCCTCATAGGCAATACAGATCTCAATGATCTGACTCTGTATATGGCAGCTTCCTATTCTCCTATGAGCCACACAACAGTGAAACGAGGATCAGGCAAATCCAAGACCACCCCAGAGAGAATATACGCCACAACCAAGCAAATTAAACACCCAAGTGTGGCATAAGTAGGAGACAGGAATAGTAGTAAAATTTACATAAATTCAGATCGATAAAGCTAGGACTGCTGCCTGCTAAATACTGAGAATTGTTCAGCATAGGATATAAGAAATTCAGGCGTTTTTCATGGTGAGTTCTGCAGCAAGCCGCTTTTTCAAATGAGTGGAGTCTTGTCTCTTTGGGGGCAGAAAATGCAGATATCTTGTTTCTTTGGATCCCCACCGTAGGACTTAAGAATGGTACAGGCATGCTCTCAGGAATTTTGCAGAAAGCTGGCAAGTACCTTCAAGACCCAAGACTGGTCTAGGCAGTATGGATGGACTATGTCAAGTTAGGTTGCTCATATTTCCAGTCTTAAATTTAGTTATTCACATTAAAGTTTACGTGTGTGTGTGTGTGTGTGTGTGTGTGTGTTTTAAAGTCCTCCTGAAAATCCATCAGCATGTAAGTGCTAATTTCGCCTAACACACACTCTTTTATCTGCAATTTTGACTCATTGACACTTTTTTTGCAAAGCGGTTTTTTACTAATGCAATGCAACTCTGCATGTTACCATCACTAACACATTCATTTCTGCGAACATTTGTTTGGTTGAAGAGCTGAACAGCAAACTTCAGAACAGTGTGATTTTTGAAAGATGGTTCATGTATTGTTTCAGAAACTGAGTTACACAGGTTCGCCTTTAAACGCCTAATTTATCCTGCTTCACGACCGGGCAGTAAAACTAAACAAAACCCTGGTCTTATTTTCAGTATTTCTGCAGCTTCTGTGATCATCACTCTCCCCACAGTTTCAAGATTACAGCAGCCTATTATTATTACCTGTCTGTCTGTGAAATGGTAGTGACAAAGCTTTTTCCACAGCAGCCGGTCCTCACTGAGCACCTGAAGACTTGGAGCAACTTGCCCAAGGCTCACCAGGTCTCTTCCATCTGTCAGGCGTTGCATGATGTTCAGTTGCAAACACAAGGGCAGGTCTGTGAAAGTCAAGCCCTTAAAGGCAGGCTGGGAGGGAAAAGACAGAGCGTGCAAAAAAATAAGGTGTGAAAAGAGCTTCGTGGAAGAGCAAAGAAGCAACATTTTCGACACGAAAACAAACAAAGCAGAATACTCCACTCACCCTGGTGATTTGGATATTGTTCAGCTGCTGCTGCCAGTGAAGAATCGTCTCCATCCTATGGACCCACATGTTGATGTTGCCAACCAGGACAGACTTGCCAACGCTTTGGACCAAAGTGCACAGAGACAGATACAGAGTCTGCAGCAATTCCCTGATTAGACGGATATTCTGCTGGTCCTCCAAGACTTTTTGAATAGGAAAAGAGAAGGAATGAAATGAGACACAAAGAAGACGAAAAATGCTAAAGAAGCACGCATTATATTCTTAGCAGTGAGACCATGTTTGCTTATTGCAGGGGTCAGCAACCTAAGGCCCATGGGCCGGAAGCTGCCCCCAAAGGCCGTTTAACCAGCCCCTGAACCGAGACGCCCGCTTGGCAAGTCCCCGCGCAGTGCGCTAAACCGGTGCAGCACAGCACGGGGACTCTCTTCCACGGCTCTGGAAGTTGTTTCTGTGCATGCCAAGACGCCGGAAATCATGTCTGTGCATGTCCGCAGTGCCGGAAATTGCTTCTGTGCAGGCGCGATTTTCGGCATCTGAGCATGCGCAGAAGCAATTTCAGGCACTGCAGACATGTGCAGACGTGATTTCCGGCGTCGCGCGGCGCTGGTCCGGCCCACAGAGGATCTCTGTGGGAGTGATCCGGCCCATGCTCAGTAAGCCTTGCCAACCCTTGGCTTATTGTCCTTTGACTCCAGCAAGATGTGGCTCCACCTCAGACAGCAGGGGATGGCTATTCCAAAGCCATTCCTCCTAAACTGCCTTGTCCATGAAAAACACAAGTTGTGCATCCCACACTTATGGCCTTGAACATCCTAAGTGAGCCTGTAGTGTAGGTACCAGCACTAAGTAAGGACCCCATCTGAAGTGGACAAAAGTGTTCCGTTGCCCTAGCTCAACAAATACAGTCATACCTCGGGTTACGGACACTTCAGGTTGTGCACCGCACCGAACCCGGAAATACCAGAACAGGTTACTTCCAGGTTTTGGCGCTTTGTGCATGTGCAGAAGCACTGAATCGCGACCCGCGCATGCACAGATGTGGTGCTGCAGGTTGCGAATGTGCCTCCCGCACGAATCACGTTATAACCCGAGTGTCCACTGTACTGGACTTTTCCAGAGTTAGGAAATTTATTTTATTTTTATTTATTATAATCATATGCCATCTTTTCTTCGAAGGAGCTCAATGTGGTGTACATGGCTCTCCTCCCCCTCCCCAGTTCACCCTCACAACAACCCTGTGAAGTAGGTTAGGCTACGAGATGGCAAATGGCCCAAGGACACCCAATGAGCTTCATGGCTGAATGGCAGCATTTGAAACTCAGATATATAATCTAATTGCCAAATGGCATTTTAAACCTAGGTTGAGTCACCACCATGATGATGATGACCATTATCCATCTAATTTCTACCCCGTTTTATCTCAAAGCAGTTTACAACACATTGAAATGTCAAATAAGAGCATCCAGACAAAACAAACTCAAGCTTCAAGGAAAATATTTCAGATCCCTCTCTGACATTTTGCTTTCCCCAATCGCCAACCAGGCACCCCGAGATCTCCACATGGTCGCAAACTGGACCTGCGCCAGGTGCAAAACACGCCTGGCTCCCGGCTAATTTCTAACACTGCCAATGGGGATTTAAACAGTGGTCTCTCAGGTCATCACCCAACACTCTGGCTCTGCGGAAATGCACTGAGAAGTGTGGGATGAATAAGGGAAGACATAGCCATCGCACGAAGAAACCAGGACGAATGTTCATCATTGAATGACCTCTATTTGAACAAATCAAATGTTCAACCAACAGCTTATCTGGAGGAACCCGTAGCCTGTTGCTTGCGAAGTTGGTAACCTTAGGTTTGCGCCTCCCCCCGCCTGTTGCCTTTACCTTTCTGCACTACTTTTTCCAAGATGTTCATAAAGTTTTTCTGGGCAATTCCGCTCAGTGACGTTAGCTGAGACTTTGCTATCAGCTCCAACAGCTGTGGATAAAAATAAAGACATTCAGCCTTAAAGAGCACAAAGGCAGTTTTCTAATCTTAGCTTCCTGGTCATGTGATGCACAGTAAAAGAGTTCAGAAGCTTGTTTGTTGCTTGACACTCTCTCTCTCTCTCTCTCTCTCTCTCTCTCTCTCTCTCTCTTTTTGGAGGAGGGAGGGTGGGAATGGATAGACAAGAGAGCCAGAAAGGAAAGACAGATGCAGCAGCTTAAGCGATAGCAATCTTTCTGCCTCTTCTCGTTGGCTTAATTACTAAGCCAAGTCATTAAAACTGACAGTAGAGGAGAAAAATAGATTGTGGTCATCTAAGCTGCTTTGCTGAACATGGGAGCAACTTAATCACAAAGAGCGATGTGGGCAATTCGGTGCTTTTGCTACAGCAAGCAACAATATTTTGAGGTTCAGCTGCAGCCACCAAGGGCTGCTACATTAAAAAAAAATTGGGGGACACACTCGTTTCCGAAACATCCTTTCATATTTGCTACAGCACTAAGCATAACTTCATGTAGACCAGGGTCCCTGCCCCCTGGGAGCTTGCAATCTGAATTTCATAGCAGGAAATGCAACAGGATGGGGAGGGAGTGACAAGTGTAGCAATGGATTGTTATGAGCAAATGTGGTGAGATAATATGTAAACTCAGTTGGAGGACCAAGGGTCAGGCTTCCAAGGCAATGGAAGATATTGGTCCTGATTCAGTAGGGCATGCACACATTGCCAGCACGGATCAGATGCAGATACGTTGCTGGTGTCTGCCGTCCCCATTCAGGTCTGCACAACATAGATGGTGATAGGTCCTCTCATTTGTCTTGTGACACAGGGAGGGTGCAATAATGTGTGTATTGGCCCAAACTGCATTAAGAAGTGTGCCCATTGGGAGAAATCCACATCATTAACAACAACTATACAACACCTTTTAATAAAATATCTCAGGGTGGTGTGAAACATGAAAAACATATTTTATGGAACATAATAACAAAAACAAAACAAAGCATAGTAATGGACAGCAATTTGATAAAATAATAATAATAATAATAATAATAATAATAATAATAATAATAATAATTTATACCTCGCCACTCTGGGCGGTTTCCAACAGAACACTAAAATACAATAACCTATTAATCATTAAAAGCTTCCCTAAACAGGGCTGCCTTCAGATGTCTTCTAAAAGTTTGGTAGTTATTTTTCTCTTTGACATCTGGTGGGAGGGCGTTCCCCAAGGCAGGTGCCACTACTGAGAAGGCCCTCTGCCTGGTTCCCTGTAACTGGTTCCCTGTAACTGGTTCCCTGTAGCTTCTCGTAGTGAGGGAACCACCAGAAGGCCCTCGGCGCTGGACCTCAGTGTCCAGGCAGAACGATGGAGGTGGAAATGCTCCTTCACGTATACTGGGCTGAGGCCAGTTTTGGGCTTTAAAGGTCAGCACCAACACTTTGAATAATCAGAATAACAGCCCCTCCCAACACCTTCAACCTGACCATAGGTTATTCAATGGCTAAAGGCCTAGGTAGAGAGAAATGTTTTTGCCTGGCACCTAAATACATGTAACGATGGCACCAGGTGAGCCTCTCTTGGGAGAGCATTCCACTGATGGGGAGCCACCACAGAAAAGGCCCATTCTCATGTTGCCACCCTTTGAACCCCTCAGGGAGGGGCCGCGGATGAGAAGAGCAGGGTCTGGGTCAGTTTGTATAGAGAGGGGCAGTCCTTAAGGTATTGAGATCCTGAGCTGTGTAAGGCACTAAAAATGCTGGTGAATTTCCACAAGGACCTTTTAAAGGAAAAACAAAACAAAACTCGCAAACTGGTTTGGAAGTGTGGAGATACGAACCTGCGATTAGAAAAATGAGAAAATGTACTTGCCCAATTCACTTATCCCTAGTGAGAAGGGATTTCCCCTCTCTTCTAACCCTCTAGAGATGCTATTGCAGGCACAGGTAGTTGCAGTGGAAAACAGAGAACAGATAATTTTCCTTCACCTCAGATATGCAGATGACACAACCTTAATGGCAGAAAGATGAGGGTGAAAGAGGAGAGCGCAAAATATGGTCTGAAGCTCAACATCAAAAAAACTAAGATCTTGGCCACTGGGTCCATCACCTTCTGGCAAAAAGAAGGGGAAGAAATGGAGGCAGTGAGAGATTTTACTTTCTTGGGCTCCATGATCACTACAGATGGGGACAGCTGTCATGAAATTAAAAGACGCCTGCTTCTTGGGAGAAAAGCAATGACAAACCTAGACAGCATCTTAAAAAGCAGAGACATCACCTTGCCGACAAAGGTCCATATGGTTAAAGCTATGGTTTTCCCAGTAGTGATGTATGGAAGTGAGAGCTGGACCAGAAAGAAGGCTGATCTCCGAAGAATTTATCCTTTTGAATTCTGGTGCTGGAGGAGACTCTTGAGAGTCCCATGGACTGCAAGAAGATCAAACCTCTCTATTCTGAAGGAAATCAGCCCTGAGTGCTCACGGGAAGGACAGATCGTGAAGCTGAGGCTCCAATACTCTGGCCACCTCATGAGAAGAGAAGACTCTCTGGAAAAGACCCTGATGTTGGGAAAGATGGAGGGCACAAGGAGAAGGGGACGACAGAGAATGAGTGCCTGGCGTGTTCTGGTCCATAGGGGCACAAAGAGTCGGACATGACTAAACGACTAAACAACAACAAGTTTCCTTCCTTGAACCTCCCAATGTTAACGTATCTCAGGATTTGAGCCCGTGTCAAAAAGGCTAGATCTCTGCTGCAAGAGCTAAAAGGAACCTGCATGTACAGATACAATATACCTTCACGCCCCCAAAACCCCACATCCTTTTCATGAATTGTCACCTTGCTGTCCGTTGTTGGAACAAGAACAACAACATCAGGCAGTTTGGACTTGTCATGAACCCGGCCAGGAAATTCTGACCATGTTAAAACGATAAAACACATCAAGTCATGGGTTGAAAAGTGCTTTGCCCAGTGGGAAGAATGATAAGAATTTGTTTGCACTTATCAACACCTTTCTATAAAGCCAGAACACATGGGACAAGGAGGAAAAGAGGGGTGAGGGGAAGAACAGGAGAAAGAGATCGCTTCAGCTGCTCTCTCCTCTTACACAGCGCTGTCACCACCGTGTGACTATCAGCTCAAGGCAGGGAAGTGGCCGAGGGTGACTGATCCACCCGTCTGTTTATCTCCCCGGCCAACTTTGAACGCCAACAGATGGCTCTCCTACGTGAGCGTTCTATTAATACCTTGCGTGCGGCCACATGACTGGTAGAAAAACCAAGGGAGGCCGGGGTGGGTGGGGAAGGAGCCCTGGCTAATTTGCTAAGCCGTCTAACCCCGGCTAATCGCCTTCATTTCTATGACTCACCATTTCAGGGGAAGTTTAAAAAAAACAAAACATGAATACGCACACAGGTGTGCATTTTTCAAATAGCTCCTAATCGCGCACACAGAGACACGACAAGCGGAGTGATACACAGGTGCATGACTTTGAGATGCTTTCAAACGCGAAATCACATTTCCGTGTGGTACAGCCCTTCACAACTTGGGGCCTGTTTACCTGTGAGACTGCCTTACACCATGCATGCCCAATCAACTTCTTTGATCAGAGGAATCAGCACTATTACACAACACCTGTTCTGCATCTGTAAGGACCTGATGCGGCAGCTACACTTTGGAACTCCCTGCCTATTGATATAAGGCAGGTGCCTTCATTTGTATGAACCACCTAAAAACATTTTTGTACAGTGGTACCTCGGGTTACAGACGCTTCAGGTTACAGACAATTCAGGTTACAGACTCTGCTAACCCAGAAATAGTACCTCGGGTTAAGAACTTTGCCTCAGGATGAGAACAGAAAGTGTGCTCCGGCGGCACGGCAGCAGCGGGAGGCCCCATTAGCTAAAGTGGTACCTCAGGTTAAGAACAGTTTCAGGTTAAGAACGGACCTCCAGAACGAATTAAGTACTTAACCCGAGGTACCACTGTACACACAAGACTACCTGGATGTTTAGAAAGCTGATGAGAGTCTTAATCTGCTTCTTAAGTCTATTGCCATTTTTTACTTTTCAAACGTTTTAAATTGTTAATTTTGCTTAGCCGTTAATTTTGTTGCTTGGCCTTTTTTTTTTTGTAAACTGAGGATTTTTGACAATCTGGCAGTGTATACATTTTATGGAAATAAACAAAAGTCCTGGGGAACTGTGCTACATGACCTGCTTGGCATCTGAAGCTGCTCCAAGCATGGTGGTGTTGTGGTGGTGTTTTTTAATTCAGCTTTTAGACCTTAAGATTGTGGGGTGGGAAAATGTCCTATATGGCTTGGTACCAGGATATCCTGACCCCACACAAACTTGCCTGGGTTTCTAAGAGCTTATTCACACTTACATTTTCTCCGCTCTTTCCAGGCCTAGTCCACGCTCCTTGTCCCAAGTGCTCACTCTTTTTTTTGTTTTTGCTCCAGAGCTTCCCCTGTGAAAATCCCCTCTTTACAGCTGAATCGGGAGGAAATGGCAAGTTGTAGAAAAACCTAATTGCTGTTTGCTCCGATTCAGCTTTAAAGAGCAGTTTTTTGTGGGGAAAGCTCCGGAGCAAAAAGGGGGGGTGCTCAGACAAGGAGATTTAAAGCACAGACCTGTGCCTAGAAACATTAGTACAAAAGGTAGGTGTAGATAAGGCCCAAGATCATCACCTGAGGTCCTTCTCCAGGTACACAGCTATCAGAAGTTAGGTGAGCAGTAAAACAAGAGCGAGCTTTTTTAACCATGGCAGCCTGCCTTTGAAGGGGAGCCTCCCCAATTACTTTTGCATATCACACAAAGATCTCTAAATTTCCTCAGACCTTTTTGTGTACTTTCTGCTGCTACTCGCTGATATTTTATTAGTAAATTTTATAGGTTTATTATTATTTTTTAAAATTGTTTACTTTCTTAAGACACTAAGACTTCCAAGTTCACTGAATCCCAAGAGAGGATAAAGGGGTACCTTAAACAAAAGTCAGTAGAGCATGAGTCTCTTAATCACAGGGTTGTGAGTTCGAGTTCCACACTGGGCAAATGATTCCTGCATTGCAGGGGGGGTTGTACTAAATGACCTTCGTGGTCCCTCCCAACTATAATTCTTTGATTCTATGAAAACAACATTTTTATTCCATCTTATATCCTGTATGGGGATGCAGGTTGTGCTGTGGGTTAAACCACAGAGCCGAGGACTTGCCGATCAGGTGGGCGGTTCAAATCCCCGCGACAGGTGAGCTCCCGTTGCTCGGTCCCTGCTCCTGCCAACCTAGCAGTTCGAAAGCACATCAAAGTGCAAGTAGATAAATAGGTACCGCTCCAGCGGGAAGGTAAACGGCGTTTCCGTGCGCTGCTCTGGTTCGCCAGAAGTGGCTTAGTCATGCTGGCCACATGACCCGGAAGCTGTACGCCGGCTCCCTCGGCCAATAAAGCGAGATGAGTGCTGCAACCCCAGAGTCGGCCATGACTGGACCTAATGGTCAGAGGTTCCTTTACCTTTTTATATCCTGTATGATCATTACAGCAAATATTGTGTTCTGCTAGATAAAGGCCCCATACATTGTCTTCTTTTGCCTCTGGCCCCACTGGTACATGGTGCCCAGAAAATTGTCCAAATGGGAATGTGAGCCTTGTTATGGAAAAGGCTCTCTGCCCCTGTTGTCCTAAAACTGTAGAAGCCAGTTTGGCCCACAGGATCCCGGGATATGTGGCTGGAGCCTCCAGCGAATGGTGTTAGCCTGCGTGTAAACAAAAAGTGAGCCAGGGCCTTCTCCCCGTAACACAACACCTCTGGAATAAGTTCCTTTGGATTTCCCCTTGTAAATTAAGACACACATTCTTTCTCCTGCTTCTGCGGTGTGGGCGAGTGAGCGCTTGCAGAACATTGCTTAAGAGCGCATCACACGGCAGATTCTTCTGGAGTAAGGAATCTGTCACTGTCATCTGCCTGTACATAACACCCCAGACAGAGAGCAAAGCTGTCTGAAACGGGACAGTTTTGCAGGGCAGGGGGAGGAAGGAAAGAAAAGAAAAGGATACACTCGGGCTCAGGTTCAAATAAAGTGGCCTCCATTCTAACTAACTGGCTTTATTTCTAGGACTCAAAACAGGAGAGGCACCTATGGAGGTGTTATTACCTCGCCAAACAGGCTTTCATCTTATAGTCCGGCCTGTTAAGTATAATTGCTCAATTCATACTGAAATGGAGAATGACTGTGTGTATTACTGAAGGCTTCAACATGTGGATTTTCCATTAAGCTCTCTGAGCTCCTAGATAGTTTGATAATTAACTACTGTTGTTCTCTGCTAGCTAACACGTGAGTGTTTAACCTTAGATCACATGAGAGGCATTGAATTGCAAATCACCACCTTGGGGAGCTGGTCTTTGTCTTTTGTTCCCGGGCTCCGTGGGAGAAGGAGGTGCAAATGAATCACTCCAGGAGCTCAACAGCCATGGGGCTGGAATGCAGGCTAATGGCACCTGTGTGAAAGAGAGCTATGCTTCTCAGCTCTGATTATACGTTATTTTATTCCTAGGAAGATGCTGAACCTGTGCCTTGGAAGGCACATGTCCAATGGAATTATTTGCAAATATCTTTGATTGCTTTTGTTCTCTTTTGAAGAAAGTTCTGCAAGTAAAGCTTTGAGTAATATCTAATGGGTCTGGACAAAGTTTTATTCCAAAAGAAGTCAGTTTTCATACATCCAGCTGCTTCAAGCTGCACAATATTAACACCTGCAATATGGCCTTTTAAGATATACGTTTGCTATTAATGCACAGGGAAATTGTGTAAGAATACTTTTAAGCATGCAACTTGACGGTAAAATGTGGTAAAGTGGTAAAAGTGGTAAAGTGGTAAAATCTTGCATGGACTGTTCTCTATTGCCCTGCTCAACAAACATGAACTCTTAAGTATGCAGCTATAGCTATAGATACAGATATAGATATATAGAAGCAGCTTCTAGTTGTGGGGTGGGTTTTTATTTTATTTCATAAAATTTATACATTACTTGATTGTTTAAAAAGAGAGAGAAAAACTTCAAAGTAGTTTGCAAAAAGATAAAACCATCAACCATTTGCAACCATTTGCATTCCTCCAAATCATACTCCTTATCCAAATTGCACCAGAAGCACTGGAAAAGTGCCAGAACTTTGCTCTTTTTTAAACTTTGCCTCCCCCCCCCCCGGCCAAAAAAACCCTCTGGCCCAACAGCTAAAGCCAGCCTGCCAGTCCCATAGACACGGCTTGAGCCATAGGAGGGTTAGTCATTTGCTTCTTCTTCTGCATTGCAAGTGAATGACTCCAGGCATAGCAGAGGTTTTCCAGACACACACACACACACACCCTGCTCAGCCATTTATGTGGTATCTGTGACGTGAGCTATTATTCACCAGGGACTTGGCTGATAGGATCAATTCATTTTTAACACAGTGTTCTTGTTTGAGTTGCGGTGCTTGGCTGGAAGGTTTCGTTTTCTCTCTGCCAAACCGACAGCCAGTTTGAATTAAAGAGTTTTCAACTTCTAGGTACCACTCAGTATCCGAGGCTCCAGGAAGTTAGAGGATTGGCTGGAGAAACACAGGCTTTTGTGAATTCTTAAATGCTGCAATTTCTGAATGTATTAATCTTAGTGCGGAGAAAAATAAAGGACTTCAGAAATGGCCTAAATGGTCTACACATTACAAGCCACTAATATTGTCCTCAATTTCATTTTTTAATGTTGTTTGAACTTCCCTGCAGCTTGCTTTTTATCTATTGCTATATTATTCTGTTTTTTATGACTGCTGCTGATTTAATATTTTTTAAAAATTGTTTTCTAAGCCATTCTGAGGGCTCTTTGGGGCAGCCTATACATTTTAATACAGTGGCACCTTGGTACTCGAACGGCTTGGCTCTTGAACAAATCAGCTCCCGAATGCTGCAAACCCGGAAGTAAGTGTTCCAGTTTGCGAACGTTTTTTGGAAGCCGAACTTCGGGCGCGGCTTCCGCTTGTGTGCAGGAAGCTCCTGCAGCCAATCGGAAGCCGCACCTTGGTTTTTGAACAGTTTTGGGAGTTGAATGGACTCCCGGAACAGATTAACTTCAAGAACCAAGGTACCACTGTACAGAGGAATTAATTTTCTGGAGAATTATGAAACTGGATTTTTGGACTGTAGCTTTTCAAACCACAGTGGAAGTAGCGTTTTAGTGTGTGTGTGTGTGTGTGTGTGTGTGTGTGTGTGTGTGTGAGAGAGAGAGAGAGAGAGAGAGAGAGAGAGAGAGAGAATTGGTGCTGACCTTTAAAGCCCTAAACGGCCTCGGTCCTGTATACCTGAAGGAATGTCTCCACCCCCGTCGTTCTGCCTGGACACTGAGGTGCAGCTCTGAGGGTCTTCTGGTGGTTCCCTTGCTGCGAGAAGTGAGGTTACAGGGAACCAGGCAGAGGGCCTTCTCAGTAGTCAAGGAGATAAACAACTATTTTACTTTTAAAAGACAACTGAAGGTGGCCCTGTTTAGGGAAGTTTTTAATGTCTGACGCTGTATTGTTTTTAATATTCGGTTGGAAGCCACCCAGAGTGGCTGGGGAAATCCAGCCAGATGGGCGGGGTATAAATAATTATTAATTATTATTATTATTATTGCAGAGACAGAGACAAACAGACATGTAAGGCAGGATTATTGCTTTGCTGGCTGATAGGCGTTACATCCAGAGGGCACCAGGTTGGGAAAGGCTGGTGTGTTCCCTTATTACAACAAAGCCAATCTTCTCTGCTCAATTCTGTTCTGAAAAGCAGGTGGCGGGCAAGCTGTTTCCTAAAACGCCATGCCCTTCCTGTTGTTCTGCCAACTCCATTTTTAAAAAGATCACATGTCAGTGAAAAAGGGCAGTAGTTGAACTGAAGAGTTAAGAGTCAGAGTGACACCAAGATGGATCATGGCAAGTTTCCAGGCAGTGAGTCAGACAAGGGGGGAGCAAATTGCCTGCTTGGTATATATTGTGCAGTTCTCCACTGTAAGCAACTTTGTTGCGTTCACACAACACACAAAAAGAAAGGAATATTTTTTTTTAATTCCAGGTGGTAGCCTGGAACGTAGTTACGTTTGTTGCAGCAAAAGGCAAGAGAAAGTCTTGTGGACCTTAAGGACTAACACAGTTTCTTATGGGCAAAAGCTTTTGTTAACTAGAACCCACTTCATGAGATGCATGGAGTTAGGTACATACTAAGGTAAAGGTAAAGGGACCCCTGACCATTAGGTCCAGTCGTGGCCGACTCTGGGGTTGCGGCGCTCATCTCGCTTTATTGGCCAAGGGAGCGGGCGTACAGCTTCCGGGTCATGTGACCAGCATGACTAAGCCACTTCTGGCGAACCAGAGCAGCACACGGAAACGCCATTTACCTTCCCGCCGGAGCGGTACCTATTTATCTACTTGCACTTTGACGTGCTTTTGAACTGCTAGGTTGGCAGGAGCAGGGACCGAGCAACGGGCGCTCACCCCGTCACGGGGATTCGAACTGCCGACCTTCTGATTGGCAAGTCCTAGGCTCTGTGGTTTAACCCATAGGGTGAAAAAGGATGGAGTTAAGTGGCAATGGATTTTTTTTTTAATTGTAGCCTGTGGCAATTCAGTTAAGACTCAACACATGCGAAGTTTTTCTGAAGCGCACACTAGTGATCTTAAATCGAGGATGATGTCCACAAAAAACAAAGAGACTACTCTTAAATGGAAAAACACAATTTAAAAGGCTATGCTATGCAGACACAGGTTGTTTTCTGTCTCGCCCCTGGATTACCTGAAAGCCGCAGCTAGATTTAACAATTCAGCGGTGCAAGCCGTTGGTGAACACTCACCCGTACAACGTAGTTGAATCTCCTTGAGTCCAAGATGGCGCTTGAGAAATCCAGCCTATTGAACGCTTCTCCAAGAGTGCAATAGCCATGTCGCTGAGAGGAGGGTGGGTGGGGAAATAGAGGAATACCACAAGTGATTCATTTGTACTCAGGATCTGGAACAGAGGCAGTAGCGGCATGCTCTTAAAAATAACACTACAGGCCGAGTTTGGATTCCAAAGGAACTGGATTCCTTGCTTGGCCTCACCAGAGATTGACCAAGCGCTTGCAATTCCCTTTCCCGCCTCCCAACACCTTAAAATGGTCCAAGAATTCCTAGGGCAGAATTATTCTTTCAAGCTCCACATCTGGAGCAATTGGATATAAACCAGCGGGCTTATCTTCTCTGAGTCAAACCACAAATAGAAGCTACCTTATAACGGGTGACATTATTTGTCCTCTTAGCCCAGTATCTTTCATTCTGACTGAAAACGGCCCTCCAGGATCTCAGATACTGAATGATCTTTTGCATAACCTTCTACACATTCATTTAATTGGAGACTGCAGGATTTGAACCCATGGCCTTCTGCAAGCAGATCACGTGGCTCTTCAACTGAGCTACGGTGCAATCACATCAGCCTCCAGCGTCCATGAACTTAAGGCATATCCACACTTCCTCTTGTTCCTCTGCTCCCTTTCCTGGGGAAAACCACTCTTTAGTGCTCAATTGGAGCAAACAGCAATTTGGGGTTTCTCTGGATTGACGTTTGCTCCGATATAGAGCTCAAGAGCGGGTTTTCGCTGGGAAAGGAGCAGGACAAGGAGGAAACCCTTTGCACGGGTCAAGCAGGAGTGCAGATGAACCCTTAAACAGATGATCTATAATTTTAGCAAATAAGATAAAAAAAAAGGCAATCCAGAGGCACCAAGAGAATAATGTGTTTCTGGGCTGAACTGGTAAAGTTGTGATCTCTCTGCATCGGGCAGTTCTCTAGATATGCCAAGTCAAAAGTCGAAATACGATGCAACAGGCCACATTCGCTTCTACCTTTAACTCATACTTAGGTTTGTTGAGAAATGACCCAGAACATGCCAAGAATGATTGTTGACTCAGCCCTAAGCCATTTTGGTTATGGTAAATGGAAGCAAAGTGGGCTATTTTAGGCAGTTTTAAATAACAATTTTGAGCAAAGCTACTACGTTTCACGTAATAAGGGATACTCACCTCTTTCGTGCTTCCTTTGTGCACATAAATCCACTTTTCTTGGTGAAAATCTGTGGAAATGAAACCGCATTTTCTTGATTTAAAGCCATGCAAATTATGATCCTCGCCCCAATTTGCTTCAGTCTGTCATTGTTTGCCAACAGCCACCACCATCCTGGTTTGCATCAGGCCTCATGGACGAATGAGTTTAATACACCACCACATACTTCCACACAGACCCTCTCGGGTGTTTAGATTGGCAGAGAGGGCCTTCTTGATAGTTCCCCTGCCCTCAAAATTTGGAGAGGAGCAGTGGCCTGGAAGACGGCATTCCCTGTGGCAACACCTTAGCTGCAGAATTCCCATCGGTGCTTACATTTTAACAAGAACAAAATAATAATAATAATGAACAGGAGAGGTGGCGGGGCTTTGGGATTCCTCAAGGGCAGACCATGAGCCTTTGGAAGCACTTTTTGTTTGGGCATGGTGTGTTGGGAACCCACTCTGGGTTGTAGGCGCAAAAGCTTTGACCTCCATGGTGAGTCAACCCTCCCTAAGCCAAGCTCAAAGCTGGAAGATATTTAGCTCTCTCAGGAATTGCAGAGACACTGGCGCATATCCAACACAGCACTAAATAATCATACCGCCAGCACAAGGATTCCCACTTCCACAAGAGGCCATCTTGTCTCTTCTCCTCAAATACACCCCCCATCATATTTTCTGGAATTCCCCCAACCCCTGGGAGATTTGGGGAGGATGTGGGGGCAAGGAGAGTGGGAGGAAAGTCCCATTGCGCAAGTGGGGATCCTTGCACAGCACTGCAACTGGATACGAGCCATTAAATAAGACTCTAGGACAGCGGTTCGCAACCTGTGGGTCCCCAGATGTTGTTGGACTACAACTCCCATCATCCCCGAGCTCTCGCCTTGCTAGCTAGGGGTGATGGGAGTTGTAGTTCAACAACATCTGGGGACCCACAGGTTGAGAAAGGCTGCTCTGGGCAGTCTGATTAGAAAGGGAGTCCCCCACTTTGAAAGGGTTCAAGTGAATGGTTTTATTCCCTCTCCCCCATCTGGTTTTAGACACCATCTTGTGGTTTCGGGGGTGCATGTTTAAAGAACATTGGGGAAGGGGACTGGTTCAAGCTGTGGGTTTATGTACCTGCCAAGTGGGCTGGGGGGAGAAGAAGTTGGAAACAGATTGCTCCCCCCCCCCAAATACAAGTGATAAACACAGAGCAAAGATCCCAGGCATAAGATTCTACATTGCAACGGATCCAAGTTCTCCGACTAAGGGTCAAAGCATAAGTGCAAAGCCTCTCCAGGGTCAGAGGTCAATTCACGGAGCGAGAAGTTTGGGTTTTCTCCCGCCCCCTCTCCAAACACAGCTGTTTATTGTTATTAAAATAAAAGTATCTCCCCAGCCTTACACTGAATCTTTGTCTTGTTGTTCAGCTGGTCCTTCTTTCTCTTCTTCACAGCAACATCACAGTTCATGCTATTCAAAATATTCTCCTTATTGTAGTCCTCTTTTCGGCAGTAACTGGGGAAAATGAAGGAGAAAGGCTTAATCTCTTCTGCAATTGGACTAATCTCTTCCCCAGCTCCATTAAGAGGAGTCTGGAATACAAACACCAACAGTTAAGTCAATATATGAGACAAGATTGCCTCAGCAGCCTATTAACTTTTGGGTCTGTTTCAAAGAGATCTAGTTTCTAAAAGCAGGGATGGGGAACCTGCGGGAGGGATGGAGGAGAAATTCGATCCAGTTCACATTGAAAGCTGGCTCTACCTAATTCACATTTTCTGAAACAATACGAGAAGCACAACAGAACCAGTTTCCAAGATTCACAGTTCTCTGAATTTTGCAGCGTGGTTTTCCAGCAAAGTAACGTGTGCAATAATGCATATGCTGGGGGGGGGGGAGTGTACATCAAAATGCACACATAAGTGCAATTTAACATACAAAAATTTATTACGTTTGGGGAAATGGCTTTTGCCAAAATGTGTCTAGTAGGCAAAATTGCACACAAACCTGCCTATGTGAAGGAGAGAGTCACCCTAAAACGCTGGTGAATTTTCAAACAGGTTTCTTTTTTAAAAAAAGTGCAAGTTGATGCAGAAATGTGAAGAACTGAATTTAAGACTGGGAAAAATGAGGAAACCCAGAGAAACCAAAATGGACAGATTCGACCATTTCTCCAGGTAGCCGTCCAGAAATTTCTGGACCACTGCTCCTAAATTGCTGGCGGGAGTTGCAGTCCAGCAAACACCAGGAAGAACAGATCCTTTCCCTAAAACTTGGGTTTTGAATACTCAAGGAAACAGCTCCTCCTTCATGAACACTCCCACACCTTAAGAATATCATGTGAGGCTCTGGTTTGTGGTCCAGTCACTTATGTGGGTGAGATCATCAAAGGCAGCGAGCAGCAGCAGCAGCCTTGTAATCACCGACGTCAACTGCTCTCTGGGAATTCCCCACCTAGAGCACCCAGAGAGGCTACCTTCCCCTATGCTTCCCTCTGCCAGTTTGATATTATTATTATTATTATTATTAATATTAATTGAGTTTATATACCACCCTATACCCAGAGGTCTCAGGGCGGCTCACAGAAAAGATCACAATATATATAAACAGAACAACAACAACCCAATAACACACACACACACCCCAGAAAAGAGACACATTTTAAAACGGTATAGGATTCCAAACAGATCAACCAAAGGCCTGGTTAAAAAGGAATGTTTTTGCCTGGCGCCTAAATGGGTATAATGAAGGCACCAGGCGAACTTCCCTGGGGAGAGCATTCCACAGGCGGGGAGCCACTGCAGAGAAGGCCCATTTTCGTGTTGCCACCCTCCTCACCTCTCGAGGAGGAGGCACATGAAGGAGGGCCTCAGAAGACGATCTCAAGGTCCGGGAAGGTTCATATGGAAAGAGGCGGTCCTTGAGGTATTGCAGTCCTGAGCCATTATCCTGTCCAAGTTAAATGAACTTCTGTCCTTCGGAAAGCAGTAGGCTGAGTTAACCACAACTTAGGCCACTAACGTCTTAAGGAGTTCTACTCCTGTGTTAAAGCAACATGCAAATAGGGAGAAGGGCAAGAAGGACCCTCTGCGCTGCTCTCCGCTCCCTCCCTCCAAAAGGTTCAGTCTCTCTGCGTGATTTAGGACTAGGTCCTTCCAGGGTTCACACCAACAGGACCTCCATTGAGTGCAAGAGGCTCCCCACTTCAGAAGATCACCCTCCAATTCAAGGAAGCTTCCCACCAAATATTTAGAAGTTGTTGTTGCTGCTGTTGTTGATATTTATCCATCCCTCACCCTACGCCCATAGCATTAAAACACAGTACTAAAAGCAGTTTAAAACTTACAATCATAGAAATAAGGTGGATCCTAATATATACACATTGAGGGACAGAAAAGAGGGTCTGGGTAAATTACTGGGTAAAGTACTTAAGATATTGGCTGCATCTGTTGGAAGAGCTTTCCACAAGACAGGGCCACAAGGGTCAATTTTGTACTGCCATTAGGCAAGTCTCACCAATCCAGGAAGACACCCAAAGATGATCCTATAGATTATCTCAAAAACTTAGTCTTAGAATTCCTGCTCCATGATTGCAGTCATGGGATTGTTGTCTATCACATGACGGATGGTGTATGTTTTAACTCCACAGAGTGGGAAGTGATGGAGGCAGGATGTTTGTGTCACTGTGTTCCATGAAGTGGGACTATTGTCCTTTGTTCTCGCTCTTTGCTGTCTGATGCTAGAGAGAGAGGGAGCCATGTTGCAGTGCTCCGTGTGTGTTTATATGTAAATAAAGTAGATTAGCCAAAATGCTGAGTTGCTGAGTTCAGTTACATGAACTGCGGATCCCTGAGCGTGCCGATGTCTATTGGCATTGGTTGCTGTGATGTTCGGGCAGAAGAAAGCTTGTGAAGCTCCCGAACAATTGATCAGGAGGGAGAGAACATGCCAGGCATGTGTCTCTGCCAGGGTCCTACTCGAGTGTAGGATGAGCTCCTGACACTTAGTTGGTAAGTAAATGTTATTGGGGTCGAATTGGAAGAAGAGAAATGGCTTCTGGGCAGCTACTGCAACATACAGTAGAACCTCATGTTATGGACGGGATCCGTTCCAGAGGCCCGTCCATAACAAGGAACTGACACAAGCTGAATAGCTGCATCTGCGCACACGCGCGACATGATTTATCGCTTCTCACATGCGTGAGCAGTGAAACCCAGAAGTAACCCATTCCGGTACTTGCCATGGGACACAACACGAAAACACATAACCTGAAGCGGACGCAACATGAGGTATGACTGTACACAGTTTTTAAGTTGGTACATTGGACCTCAAGGGACCAAATAGATTTCTATAGGAAATTAAGTCTGCTCCAAATCTGATCCAGTCTACTAGGTGTTGGCACCAACCGTGTCCAACACATCTGAAAGAATTTTATTTAAATGCTCTTTTATATAAACAAGATGAACCGTAGAGCAAACTTCCTTTCCTGTACACACCCTTGCACGTTCAGGAAATGTACCAGGAATTGTCACTTTCAGGACAAGCTCCAGTGACACTTTTATAGACTGTCCTGATGAAAAATGGAACGAGGAGGCAATTACACCCATAATTAAGTAGCAGTTGCATAACGAACCTCGTGACCTGGGTGCAACATCAGTGCCCTTTCTTTAACCTCCCTCCTGCTCACCTGATGTCATCGCTTCCTGCTTGTGCCATGAGATGTCCTCAGGCAGGGACACACGCAGGTTGCAGGCATCTGTCTATTGTCAGACATATTTTGCAAGGCCTGCAAATAATACTGTGTCGGGAGAGGAGCTTCAGCAGGTCAAGGATGGCTAAGGAGAGCAATGTGGGAATATGAAAAGTTCTATACACTGAAGATAAAAAATGCTCAACGCCCAAACGGAACTTGGATGCAAGGAGGAAATGTTCTGGTGTAGTCTTCTACCCGCTGTGCTGCTGTTGTTGTTGTTTAGTCGTTTAGTCGTGTCTGACTCTTCGTGACCCCACGGACCAGAGCACGCCAGGCACTCCTATGTTCCACCACCTCCCGCAGTTTGGTCAGGCTCATGTTTGTAGCTTCAAAAACACTATCCAACCATCTCATCCTCTGTCGTCCCCTTCTCCTTGTGCCCTCCATCTTTCCCAACATCAGGGTCTTTTCCAGGAAGTCTTCTCTTCTCATGAGGTGGCCAAAGTATTGGAGCCTCAACTTCACGATCTGTCCTTCCAGTGAGCACTCAGGTCTGATTTCCTTAAGAATGGATGTGTTTGATCTTCTTGCAGTCCATGGGACTCTCAAGAGTCTCCTCCAGCACCATAATTCAAAAGCATCAATTCTTCGGTGACCAGCCTTCTTTATGGTCCAGCTCTCACTTCCATACATCACTACTGGGAAAACCATGGCTTTAACTATAAGGACCTTTGTTGGTAAGGTGATGTCTCTACTTTTTAAGATGTTGTCTAGATTTGCCATCGCCTTTCTCCCAAGAAGCAGGCGTCTTTTAATTTCGTGACTGCTGTCACCATCTGCAGTGATCATGGAGCCCAAGAAAATAAAATCTCTCACTGCCTCCATCACACCACCCGCTGTGCTACTTTTTTCTAATCGCAGGGAGTTTACTCCCTATGGGAAACACTAAAAGCATACTGTTTCCATTTTCAGCCTAAACTGATTCTGACAGAGATCTCTGTACTACAAGCTGAACTGCACTTGTAGAACCATTTTAAGGCTGCAGTTTCCAAACCATTTTTCTGTAGAGGTCTGTTTCACTTGGCCACCAGGCAATTTAAGAATGGTCCTCACCATTCACAAGTCTGTTGTGGGGTTGAATTGCCTCTCTGAATCTATTTTTTTTAATAATATTTTTTTATTGCTTTTTTCCAAGGTCAGATACATCATCAATGATTCAACAAAAGCGACTTTACAAAAAAGAAAAAAGAAGATTATAAAAGAAAAAAGTTCACATTTTACAAACAATTTTTCATGATCCACTGGACTTCCCCACATCCTCCACCCCCTGCATCCTTTACAATAAAGAAAGATAACAGCAAATTGATACCTTGTTTCATGCGTTTTTGTACATTCCTCTAATTATATTTTAGATTTAGGGTACTTGTCATTAACTCCCTTTTCCATCGATCCTAAAAATAAAAACGTTACTCTAAACTTTAGTCATTTCAGAGTCGTAACTTAGTTTCCACCATAATCAAATTTAATTGCTGAAGCTTGTTGTCTCCAAACTTAGCAAATTCTCAACATTCATATAACTTATAATATTTTTGTAAATAGTCCTTAAATTTTTTCCAGTCCTCTTCCACTGCCTCTTCTCCCAGGTCTCGGATTCTGCCAGTCATTTCGGCCAATTCCATGTAGTCCATCAGTTGCGTATGCCACTCTTCCAGCGTGGGTAGCTCCTGTGCCTTCCAATATTTAGCTAAAAGAATTCTTGCTGCTGTAGTTGCATATAAAAAGAAGGTTCTGTCCTTCTTTAACACTCTCTGGCCCACAATGC